TCCTGGGGAGCCGGCGCTCCTGGGGAGCCGGCGCTCCTGAGGAGCCGTCGCTCCTGGGGAGCCGGCGCTCCTGGGGAGCCGGCGCTCCTGGGGAGCCGGCGCTCCTGGGGAGCCGGCGCTCCTGGGGAGCCGGCGCTCCTGGGGAGCCGGCGCTCCTGGGGAGCCGGCGCTCCTGGGGAGCCGGCGCTCCTGGGGAGCCGTCGCTCCTGGGGAGCCGTCGCTCCTGGGGAGCCGGCGCTCCTGGGGAGCCGGCGCTCCTGGGGAGCCGGCGCTCCTGGGGAGCCGGCGCTCCTGGGGAGCCGGCGCTCCTGGGGAGCCGGCGCTCCTGGGGAGCCGGCGCTCCTGGGGAGCCGTCGCTCCTGGGGAGCCGTCGCTCCTGGGGAGCCGTCGCTCCTGGGGAGCCGTCGCTCCTGGGGAGCCACCGCTCCTCGAGAAAGAGCCATGGCTCCCCGGGAAAGAGCCATCGCTCCTCGGGAAAGAGCCATGGCTCCCCGGGAGAGCCATGAAACACCACCAATGACAAAGAGTTTACGTTGTGAATAAAAACAAACTAATTTATATTAAGGTTTTTTATCTTTATTTTTATCTCAAAAATAATATAATCCCTATTGTTTTATCAAACTCAACTGTCTTAAATTGTAATAAAACGAATAATAAGTTAGGAAATTCTCCCCCACGGACCGTTTCTCCCTGAATTTGTTAACAGGATTCCTTCAGCGTGAGACTTGAGACTGTGCAGCAGCTCTAAATTGAATCTGAAGCGAAGTGAAAGTTGGACTAAAAGTTTTCCCGTTCACCGCCGCGTCGTTGTTCTCAAATCGAGTAAATTCCTCCAACGGCAGCTGCACTTGTTCTTCCCATGGCGATAAATTAAGTGGAATTAGAGACACGCCGACTGCCGATAAATTATTTCCAGCGACTATTTGCGCGGTGAGTCGACGCGGTTAATTTGCGAGCTCTTTTCAGCACGTGACACCCCGAGTGTATTTTTCACAGCAATGATGGATGCTGCAGTCAGGTTAAAAGGCTCGGCTGACGTAGCGAGTGACGCCTTTAATGAGCCAACAACGCGACTTAATTGCCACTGATACGTGTGGGATTCCACCCTTGACGTCACACGTGCCATCGATTTCCCTGTGGGAAGTTGGGGCTACCGTCCGAGTGACCTATCTTATCAATTTCGACGCCGTCTTTTTCAAATTTATGACTCCGGAGCCGTAAAATCTCGAGGGATCCGTCGGCAAATATTTGCAAAGTAAAGCCAGCCGACGGCAAACATGCAAGTGGGTCACGGTTACCCACAATTCTCTTTGGGTTTTTGGCTGGTTTTATCTCAAAAAGGGGGATAAAAACGAAAAGAGACGATAATTTTCAGAGGATCAAGTCTCCGTAAAATTTTGGTTGAATAAATTCGTTTTAGGAGATTTTTATTGATCAATCATGCCTCAATTAGTAAAGATAGAAAATTTCATAATCAATTTCTCTTCAGCATAAAAAAAATAAATGCCATAACAAGGGTTGGGAATTATTTTTTTAATCCAAATAAGTGATTGATGATTATTTAATTGGCATATTTTTTGCTGTTCAATGTCCTAATGCGTGATTTAGATGGATTTTTCATATCTATCATGTTCAAAGTTCAAACAATATTTAAATGAAAAAATTATCTAATAAAATATATATTATGAAATTACTTAAATTTTCCAGTATTTGCGCTTTCTTAGATTGTTCTTCAAAAAAATAAAATAACTAATTTTTAAATCTGTTTTCATTACAATTTAAATAATCTTATATGTATAACGCAGCTATTCAAGATAAGAAAATTAATCGCCAAAATTTAAGTTATAATAAATTTAATTTTAATTTTAAATGTACTTCCTGGTATAGGTTTTTACAACAAATTGAAGAGCCTGGTAGGGAAACTTTTCCTTTGATTAATTACAAATTTCCGTCTGAATTTTTGAGCACCGATTAATGTTCGCCCAACTGAAAAGGCAAAGCCGCTTGCGTTCTTCTTTTCCCCTTTCTCAACTTTGTTTGGTTTTCCCCTTGGACGAGTTTGCTCTTGAGACACGGCTGAATAAACCGCCCCGCCACGGACCGATTCCACCCAGCACTTTTTTTTTTCAATTTGTTGACGGCTACAAAGTTGCCATCACGCAAAGAGAAGCAATTTGGCTCGCAAAAACAATGCCTCAAGAGAAAGATATTATGCTTCGAGCAGGCCAAAGATGGGTATTATTTATTTTCCTTCAAAGAATTTCCTCACAAATGGAAGTTGCGGGTGCGACGAGTCATCCGGGGGTCGATTGCCACTTAATAAAGGCAGGTCACGTATTCCGGCTCTCGACTGCCTTCGGAAGCGAAAAATCGATGTTTGAAGACGCGCGGCGCTGCCTCTTTTACAAATTACTTTATGAACTTGCAGGCCCCGAGCTTACTTCTTCTTAAACGAGAAAAAAGCAGTTAGTCTCATCTCCGAGGATAATTTGCTGTCCTTGTGCAATTTTTTCTCTCCCGCCCATGTCGCCTTCAAAGCTGAATCAGGGTCAACCATCCGGCCGGTCTAATAAATCGCGGCGCTTCCGAGGAGGCCGAATGACTTTTGGCCCATTTGAGCTAATTATTGAGAGAGAGTGGAGTCTCAAGGGCCTCCGGGTGGCTCTTTGTGCGATTAGTGGGTGCTGTCGAAATGCGTGCGGGCCGACATGAAAGTTGGCACTCAAATGAGAACGCGCACTGCGACGAAAATAAGTCATGCGAATGAACGACTACCAAAGGACCATTGAACGGCGGAAGAATCCTTCGTACTCTCTTCAGCGATATCATCCCCCGCCCATTGTTCATTTGAATTCGCGGGAAGTGACATGGCCACACCAACAAAAACGCATTTAGTGGTTAAATATTATGAACGTAATGTAAGGAAACTTTGCTCCAATTTTTAATTTAATTTTAAAAAAACTGCACACTATATAGGGGTGACAAAAACAGGATGCATTTCTAATATGTAATTTTTATTGCTGAAAAAATAATATATTTGTTAAAACAATTATTCCTTTAATCTCAAGAAAATTCTTTTTCCTTTGTCAACGATTTTTCTTCTGATGAAGTTAATAATAATATCCTTTGATCGGCTCAGATTTGATTTACAGAATTTTATCTTAAGATTCCAATTTTCAGAAAAGTAATCAATTTAAAAAGAAAATCATGTATAAACAGCTTGAAAATTTGATGTCGAGAAAAACGCCGGTTCTATTTTTTATTTATTTAAATTTTTTCCCCTAAAATCCCTCGTTTGTAGCTTAAGAAAATCACCTTACATAGGCAAGTATTTGAATCTATTTTCCCCATTTATATTTTATTTGATAAATTTCACCCAATCGAAACAAAGGCTAAAATTTTCTGCTTTGAATTATAAGAGAGATGCATCCATCTCATCAAATTCACCTATTCATTTCCTATGTAACTAGATTTTATCTTTGAATATGGTTGACCCACATTTGAAAACTCTATTTGATTATATTATAAAGTACCAACTATCTGATTTTTTTTCGTCTTCCTCGTAAAAGGAACATTACAAAAGTTCATTTTGACCGCATGCTTGAGAAGTAAAGTGGACTTGCTTTAAAGATAGTCAGAACGAATTCCATGCGGTACCAAAACAAAGAACACACTAAAATGCAAATCAGCTCCGGCGCATGCAAAGCCAGTGGTTGGCGTGTGTATTTGTGTGTTGAGAGAACTTTGTGAATACGAAAGATGGAAAGGGTGTTTTTATTGCAATCCGTCCGCATTTCGCAAACCATTCCGATTATATTACTTTCTCAGAAGTCCTCACAATCAGTGTGATTATTGGTGTGTGTGTGTGTGTGTGTGTGTTATTTTTATGTTTCAATAAATACAAAGCAGTGCTTCAATAGTAGTAGATTTAAGGCGCCGAGGCTTTCAACTCACCTTTGGCATCTGAGAATGGAACACAGGAAAACAGAGAGAGAAAGAAATGAACACAAATATGCTGAAGAAACAACTCTCTGCTTTGAGAGTTATATATTTGATCAAACAATATTTAAAAATTTTCAAGTCGCGGGGATCAATGAATATTAATGATTTAGGAGGAAATTATGTAAAATAATTTTAATGCATGTTGACATGCACACGAAAGAAATAGGATGGAACGAAAAAAGCTCACAGTGAGCTGGTTATTGGAAAGATTCTAATCACGGACATGCTCGAGATGACTCCACAGTGTTTATTTGCCACAATTCGGGGCAGACCCTCATCCAAGAAGAGCAAACACACTCAAATGCAAATTATCAGATAATGCACGAAAAATTGTTTTGACTTTTTTAAACTGTTAGAAAGACTTTAATTTTTATATTTTATTAGCTGAACTCTAATTGGAAATTTTAAAATACATAATTTGGGTTGCTTTTTAAGGTGGAATGAGTTTATGGCGTAGATTAATTAATTAAATTATAAAGATGTTGATAATATAATGAAGTTATTAAGGCTCAATTTAGATTTTTAATCAAGGCAGTTTTGATGAAATTAGCGTGGTGATGCCTTTTTGTTCCGTAATATAATGTAACCTTCCCAAAAATAACAATTTGGAGAAACAAAATTACAAAACTTCTGGCCAAAGATAAATTTAAGACCTTTACATTAATGAAAAACAGTAAATTTAAAATTTTTCTTTCACACTGCAATAAAAAGTTCATTTCAAATTAGAATTATTCATTTTAATTTAGAGGATATTTTTAATTGTTCATTTTCTGACAGAAATTTCAATTTTCAACAAATTTATATTTAAAAATCCAACAGAATTTAATTTTATCCCAATTTTAAACGATTGTTCACCAGTCAGGGCTAGTAATTTCAATTTAACTTTTGCTCAAACAAATAGTCATATTGCTATCAATAATACAAACCACGCTCATTCCACCTTAAAATTGATTTAGAAATTATAAGTTTAACAAATGAGAAATAAAATTTTCACTCACCAGACTCGCGTCCACCCTTGACGCAGATGCCGAAGCCGTGGGCCGATTCGGCGGGCCGGCTCATGCTGACCGTGCGCACCGGCTTGTTGTTCATTATGTTGATGGGCGGCAAAGGGTCGTTGACGTGACCCCGGCCGTGCTGCTTGCCAGCCGGGAGGTGGTTCGAGTTGAGCATCCTGATCACCTGCTCGGGCGAGATGCTGGCGCCATGCGTCGGGTTATGCGGCTGCTTCGAGCGCGGGTTTCGCACCGGCGGGGACTGACTGGCGGCCCGCGCGTTGATCGGCCTGTGGAGCGCATCAACAAATGGTTCAATTTTCAATAAATAGGTCAAAATCGCAAAAAGATCCAGAGCAGGGAGTATTCAAAGGAAGGAGAAGAAGGAAGCAAGTAGTGTTACCTGCACAGCTATTAAATTAGCAAAATTAAACTGAAACAGAACAGCAGAAAAAAATTTAGATGGATGTATTAATTATATATTTTATTTATGCATGACTTATGGTATTATTTATAAGATAATGATATACTTTGATTGAAATTTAACACTCATGGTGCATTTTATAAAAATTTATACCTAGCTGAAAAAAAAATGAAATAAAAGATAATTCAAAAGTTGACCAGCTGGCTTATATTAGAAAGAAAAAAAACCGTGGTCTTGATCAGAGGCAGGGCAGATTTATCTTGAAAAATATTAGTGTTTCTATATGATGTTAAGTGTAGTGTCAAATTTTAAATTTTTACACAGGATATTGATACAACAAATTCAAAACATTTTACTAAATTTAATATTTAATTAATAGCATCTATTTTTTTCTTTTATTTAAATTGTTATGTTTTATTATAAAAAAATTATTAAATTTATTAAAGTTTAAAATATCAGCTTGATTTTATCTTAATATAATATAAATTTTTACCTTTTCATTTTTAATTTTTTTAACAATTTACTTTTAATTAATAATAATGTATTTTGTTTAACAAGTGCAAATATAGAAAAAATGCCTGTTAAAAATGTTTTAGGATAACAGTTCTTTAATTATATATTTATAAAAATACAGTACAAAACGGTCTCAATCCGAACACATAGGGGTCAGATGCGTCCGCTTCTAGTACCGGAAGGGGAGTGGCAATTTATTTTACGACAAACGAGAGACATAATTTTAGAGGCAATTTCTTTAAAAAATAGCAAATTATAACGGAAAAATTCACCTACCTGAGGCGAGTCGATGAGTGCAGTGACACTTCCGAGTGGTCGGTGCGGCGATAAAATCCATTATTCGCCTTAATTCGGTGTGATACGGGTTGATTGCTGATATTTTTGCCTGATTCGCCATTTTTCCTTCAGCGAGGAAGTTTCCAGAGACGCCGGTGCTTGGGCAGCCGGCGAGAGAAAAGGAAATGAGGGGGGGTTGGGAGGGAGCGCTACCTGCACAATGCAGCAGCATTGGAATGCGCCCCCACCAACACTCTCTCTTTCTCTTATCACTCGCCGCTGCCGTTGTGCCCAACAAGTCCTTGGAAGAAAGAAAATGGCGAGAAAGTCGAAAATTTTCATGAATCGTCACCGTATCTCAACGAATTGAGGCAAATGGGGAATTTTCTCGTTCAGCCGACCACTAGGAAACGGCGCCACATTCATAAACTGGTCCCAGGTATGTGATTTTTGCTATTATTTTTACAGATTAAAAATTTTTCGCTTATTTTATTTGATCGTGTCAATTTCACACGCTGGTGAAAATTTGAAATTTGCGCCACAGAAAACCAACAGCCAATCAAAAGCGGTGCTTATTAAGCCATAATGCGTGCGCTTCTGTTTCGGATATTTCTCAATATCAAGACCCCATTGATACAGTAATTGAAACAAGTAATCTTACTTACTGAAATAGTAATTTATTGTCTCATATATTTGTAGGAAAAGCCTCTATAATTTTTAATTATGTAAAGGAAGTAAAAAAAATTATAATAATCTAGAAATAATACAATCCTTACTAAGAATGAATATTTACGAGAGCTCTCAAAATAAATTTAAATCCAAAAGAAATGATCATTGAATGAAAATAAGAAAGGAATGGACGAACCTGAAGCCGATCTCGCGCAGCGGGAGGTCGCGTGCCGACGGCCTGGCCTCGACGATGGTGTAGGAGGTGCCGGGCGGCGAGTAATACTGTCCCGAGCGGTGTCGGGCGGAGGCGTCCGGGTAGGCGGCATCCTCGGCCTCGTAGTATCCGCGTCGGTGCGGCTCCGAGGAGGGAGCGTTGCGCTGCAGCGTCTGCACGGCCCTGCGGTGCGGCGAGCACGACGAGCACTGACCGTTCGGGGGCAGGGGCTGCGAACACCCGCAGTACAGACACCACGAGGGCGCGGCCGCGGTGATCAGGCCCCCGCTGCCCCGTGCGCCGCTCGCGGCCAACGGGGCCGTTGTGACCGGCGAGTTGAAGCCGCCGCCTCGGCCGCACACGTCGCAACCGGCACCACCTTCAACACAGAACATCACATTTTCTTACCGATTTTTAATTTATTTCATGAGCTTAGAAATTTTCGTACAGAAATTAATAATAATAATTTAGCACCAAATAGGATCTTATTTCAAATTTTAGACTGTATTGCAAATTAAAGCACAAAAGCCACGCAGTGTTACCTAAAAAAATCAGGCTGTAAAGATAATAAATATTACCAAAAATAACCGTAAAAATCACTGTGGACTGTGCTCGATTATTAGCTGGGGAAGATGAAACTCATTAGAAAATCCAAAACAGTGTTACAAAGAGAGGTGAAAATTAGTTTTGCGAAAAAAAAATTATATTAATTCGTGTTTCTTGAAAAGCTTTTTCAGTAAAACTATTGTTTTTCACCCCTTTTTTTTATCAATTTTTAGTTTAAACTCAGTTTTTGGTCTGGGTATAGTGACTGCCTAATATTTTTTAGGCTAAAACTGTTTTTTATTAAATTTACTCATCGGGACTCGTCAAATAGTCTGAGTAAAATAAAGCATCAACAAATTATGAATTTCATTACATTTTTGCATACCACAAGCAATTGTCTTTGAAATTAAAACCTTCAATTTAAAATCATTTTTCATGACAAAATTTAGTAGTTAACGTTTAAAAAAGATTTATATAAGGAAATTATGTCTTAATTTTGTGTTAAAATTTAATATAATCTACTTGAAAGTAATTATGCATCAAATAATGTTAACGCTACACATCAAATAATAAAGCAATGCACAGCACTAAAGTGATTTTTTAATTTCAAATCACACAAACCTCCTGTTGCAATTATTCATAATAATATTAAAAAAATATTATAAATTTTTAGGGCTTCCCATTAAGGATCTCGCAAGAGGGTTGTAAATGCGAGTTTTCAAGGTCCGTATACATTTCCGTGCGTCAGATGCTCTCCAGGTAATGAAATTGGTGTGGTATATATGGGGTGTGCTGGGGAGTTATTATTATGGCTGCGGTCAGGCCGCGCTCTGCATTAGCTGCGGTTTTCTGAATGAAGCAGCAGCATTTCCTACTCCCAGTGGTGAATTATTCGGAGTGTTTTGATTTTCCCATTTTTGGTGGAAAAACTTTCTATGATATGAAGCAAGAAGCAACATATGTATGGAGTACAAATAAAGGAAACCAATGTTAAAGGAATTAAATAAAAATGTGCAGAAAAATTGAAAATGTTTCTGTTAATCATTTTTTTTTCTACTACAATAAATAAAAAAACTACCCTTAACACCAATATGTGCCAAAAGAGACAAAAATTTTAATTTTATTCCGTTGATTTTAAGAAATACAATTTAAATGTGAAAAATTCTGATTAAAAAATATAAATATTTAAATTTTTCGATTGGAAATATTAAATAATGGGTTTCCTGAGTGCAATTAATATTGAATGATTTTAATTAATACGTACAAATATTAAAAATACAAATTATGCTCATAATTTTTAGTGTGACTGACCTGCACGGTTGTAGAAGGCAGCAGCAGCCGGCGAAAAGTGAGGCTGGTGGTGGTGCGCTGGAGGCAATTGTGGATGGTGGTGGTCCTGGGTCGGCGGTCTCCGGCTCGAGATCTCCTCTAGCTCTCGACTGACGAGGAACTCTTCCTCGGCCAACTGCGCCGCGGCGAAGGCTGCATCAAAGGCATCTAGGGCGGTAGAGGCTGAGGCCATGCACGCAGGGGGCGCCCCGCCCACCACAACGGGGCATCACACTACGCCACCCTGAAACACAAGACGTCCGCAGTTACATAATGGACTGGGGATTTACTTGCGACTTTTATTCTCCACAGTCTTAATGTCGTCAGACACAAATTTAGAGTGCAAAGGCTGTGAAATTTACGCAATTCTTATAATCAAGATAACAATTAAAAACGTTTGAAATTATAATTAAACCAAACGAGGATAAAGAAGGTTTTAAAAAGTGACTCCAATTATTTAATGTTTACTTTTAAATTTAAATTAATTAAAAGCTTTTTTATGGCTTTATACTCAAATTGGAAAATTTTCAACTTCAGAAAGTGCTTTAAATCAATTTGGATTTGCAACAAATTGAATCTTCATTCAAAGTTTTCTGTGAATCAAATTTTCTCTCTAAAAGATATTTAAAAAATTCAAATTTTGTTAATTTACACTATTTTAAACTCTGTCAGAAAAATATTTAAAAAAAATCAACTTAATTCGCCGATGTTTAATTTTTCTGTGGAAATTTTACGAAAATTGTGCATATGGGAAAAAATAATACATTTGCCAGATGTTCGGAAGCACCGGAGAAGCATTACCAATTGGCGAGATTGTTTGCGTGGCGAGTGTGTTTTGACAGCTCAAACGTAAACAGCTAGAGCGTTTTCGGAAGTGGTGCGCGAGAGCTTACGACCAAAATAGGTTATGCAACCGGCTTGACGAAAGTGTCACACGGATTGCCTAGCGCCGAATCTGGCTCTTGCGTGGAGAGAGGAGGGACACCTGTTCCGAATGGTGTTGCGACATGGAAAGGAAGAGAGGCGAAATTGGAACCATTCTGCGCTCATTTCGCAACGTCTCACGCAATTTATGGCCTTGTTATCCACGAGAAAAAGTTTTTATTATACGCACATCTCGCTGATGATCGATCTTTGGCGGCTAAACTTTTGGCACGCTACAAGAAAGGGAATTATTCAAAATCGTTCTGTCGTTCTGCAATATTTTAACAGTCAATTTTTTTCTTCTTTTAAAACTATCACTTTTGTGATCTATTGATCAGATCACAAAAACAGTTTGGTTAATTTAAAAAGTTAAAAAAAAAATTGCTTTCGAATTTTAATTAACTGATACAAAAGATCGTATCTTCTATGCTCAATCTGATGATGAACCTTATTGAATTATTTCATGCTGAATAAAAATATTTAAATTATCAACTTCAACTTTTGGCTTTGTACACGAAAAATATTGCAGGTAAAAAACTTTATTTTAATTTTTTCCCCTCTTATAACATTTTTTACTGTTGTTGCCGTTATACAGAATATAACGTTAAGTGCGAGTTTCCACACTTCAAGCTAATTATTTAATATTTTAAGAAAAATTGACTTTTAAATTTAATTCTATTAGAGTGTCTAGTTTTCTTTCGTAAATTGCACTGTGCGTCCATAATTTTTAAACGAAAGTAAAAAAAAACGTTTGGTTTTTAAATTTTTAAAGGATTGGCTAATTAAGATTATTTTAACATTTTGCTCACCAGAAAGAATTTTTTCAATTACAATTTGAGTGTGTAATTTACACATTATAGAAATTTGATGCTTTATAAAATAACTGTTTAATAATGAGTAAAATGATAAAGCAAAATATTATGCTTTTAAATTGTATTTAATTCATTTCACTCTATGTCAGGTGTTACACGAAACGCTGAAATGATAAATTTGACACCTGGTTGCACCATGAAATATATATTTAATAAAAATCCACATTGAATCCCCTTCACATTTCGTGTCGGTCGCCTCGTGAGCTCCGCTTTTATTACGTCGGCACGTCGTTGTGTTTTACGCGTTTTGTCGGATGTCGGACAAGGAGCTGCTTGTATGCGCCGCCCGATGCAACTCTTAATAATCGCGTGCGACTGCGAGGAGCCTCCATAAATCCCACATGTCTGACCTTATTCTGCAAAAGTGCCGATAAATCTGCAGCGCTGGAAAATTTCCATTATTTCCGAAAAGACTAAGGCGGGCGTTATTATTTGGCTCTCGCAGGAGGGTGCGACTCTCTGCTTGATGTGACCTAATTTCGGTTTGCGGCATTCAACAGTTTCGTACGCATTATTCCTCTTTGCGAGAGCGAACACTGATTCTTTCGCCGTCTTGCCCCCGACGAAAGCCGGTTTTTATTATCATTATTTCGCCGACCATAAATATCAAGGCGCAAACCTTCTCTGCGCGTTCTTTTATTTCCATCTCTTTCTCTCAGAGAAGAAATCTCTGCATATTTCACGACGGCAGAACGCACTCGTGACGGGTGGTGGAATTAATTCGCTTTGCTCTCGACCCCGATTTCTCAGAAGGAAGTATGAAATTCTGTGACAGATTTCGTTCCTCGGAAAGGTCCCTTTTTATCTTTGTGTGGTAAATATTTTATACCTTGTTCTCTGATTCATTTCCATTTTCTCTGCAGCAAAGAGATTCTGCGACGTCCGTCTGGGGTCTAGGGTCCCCTACGGCGCGCGTCAAACGTGTCTACGGCCCATCTCACCCCTTTGGGGACTGATGTAAAGAGCTTTGATGCGCTCGGCAAAGACTTTTGGTTTGACAATTTGAACTCCAACAATACGGCGCCTTATTCCCGGGCCGCCATAGTGGTGCTCATTAATTTTATTCTCAAATAATTATTCTTTATTTGATTCTCCGGGGGGCTTCGAGTTACCAAAGCCGCTGCCCGAGCCTTACTCCCCTTTACGACCCTGCCTACCCTGCCGGTTAACCCTCACGCCCTAACGTAGGTGTCGGAGAAATTAAAACACGCAGTGTTGCCTTGCCGGGCTGGGAAGAGACTATCATTTATTTTGGTCACATCAGAAAAGAATACAAAACAATTGAATAACAAAGTGCAAAAGAGATACATACAAATTAAAGCGGGAAAGGAACATGGATGGAAGGGCTAGCAAAAATAAAAGTTATTTGTGTTCGTCACAATTCAAGAGATAATAATTAGTTATACGAAGAAGTCTATCCAAAAATCTAAAATATTGAAGGAAGAAGCATAAGTAGACACCGGTAGCTTAATGGAGATGATTTTAATTTACGACGCCAAAATAAATGCTCAAATAACATTCTAAAGCGTTATAACAGTGAGTTAAAATTGCCTTTAATTGAAATATAAATTTTTTTAATATTTTTTTTAAATAGTTTTAATAACATAAATGTAAATTTTTACAAATTGTAAATATTAAAGACATTTATTTTATTACTTATGTATTTATTGTATTTTTATTTATTTACTTTGTATATTTATTTAGTTAATTTTTATTTTTAGTCATTGTGCTTTACATAAATACTTAATATTTTTTTTAATTATATTATTTTTGTCATTCTCCTAAGAGGATTTATAAATAATTTCTTAAATTTTATATAAAAAATAATCTATCTACTGTTGACTCTTAGGAGCTCTTTCGCAAGTGTTTGTAGCAATCCCATTTGTTCGCTTAGGCGTTTAAAACAAAAATCTTTGTATAAAAGCTCTTTCTAAAGTAGTGGTACCCTTCATATTGTTCGATATGTACTTTCAAAAGGAATCTGCAGTTGTTTTCTTCTCATTCTATTTCCCTCGTAAGATTTCATCGCTGAAACTTCGCAGAAACGTTTATGCAAGTGTCGCAAACGTCTCGAGAAAACTCCTCTCGCGGACTAAATTCCGACACCCAAGATTGACGACCGTTCGGCGGAAGTAGAGTCAAAGGCTCAAGAAGTCTCTTTCTCTCGCACTCAACAAACAAAAGAAACAAACTCCGTGGCGTATGCGTGTTGGGAAATAAAGTTGCTCGTCTTTGCGTGGCGCCTTTTTAAATCATTTCGCCTTGTGAAGGAACGAGCCTGCAAATAAAGTATCGCACGTTGCATGGTAATATCTTGTGTCAGAAACACACGACTGCGGCAAACTTTCAACTTGCGCGTCGCGAGACGAGACGAGGAACAACTTTCAGTGCAAACAAACACACACGCCCTACACAGAAATGGAAACCTACACTTTGTATAAGTTTCTGAAGGGCGTAGAACTAAAACTAATACGCGTCAAAAGTTTAAAATTGAAAAATGATATATTTCAATTTTAAATCACTTTAGTTTTTTATGCGCGTGTGTTAAAAAATATGAGAAACGTTCATAGAACTTAAAAAAATTTATATTATTTAAGAATTAATATCGATGTTGAAGTTAGAGTTTGAATGGTATGACTGGTGGTTTACGAGTAATTTTGGTTTTGTTAAATTCGATCCGAAAATCATATTGCAAATTATCTATGCAAATTTTTTTTCTTCTGAGATGATTCAAAATTGCAAGAGTCTCAAAAGTGCAGTCATAAATAGTATTAGTGAATAATACAGGGTGGCCCAAAATTCAACGACAGATTTTAATTTGCTGCCATTTTTGAACGGATAAAGATATTTGAGTTTTCTCAGCGGGAGAATGAAGTTCAGCTGTGGAAGTTTTGTTGGTGCTATGGGCATCCCATTGTTGCAACGCATTGTTACTGAAAAATTGCCACAAACGTAAACGAAAAATTTCTCTTATGGGATTTCCATGTTAATTTTTAAGCTTTTTAAATTTTTGACTTTTTAAACGGGACAAAATGTTTTCTAGCCTAAAATTTTGCGAGGAACACGATTCTGATGTCTAAATTTTATTCCAGTTAGTATAAAATAGACTTTTTGACTCAAATTTTATGAAAATGAAAGGTTAGGTCAAATTTGACCTCACCAATTGATTCAGCTTGCCGAGTTTACCCAATGTACCAATTTTCGTTTCTCTACCTATTTTGGTTCTGTAAAATCCAGGAAACCGTCAAATTTTACCTTAAGTAAATTTGTATAATTAAACTTCCGATGGCCATAAAAAATAGAAGTCCAGCTTTAAACTTGTAAAACTTTGGCCGGATTAACTCCGTGCTTTGCGAGAACTTGTAACTTATAAGTTAGAAGTCTGTCGCCCAGAAGAAAAAATTTATTTTTTAAAGCTTGTAGTGATTTATTGAAAAATTTTAAAAAA